AGTGGGCTGACCTGCAAACAGGCGTCGGCAACAATCGCGAATGCGGCGCACATGTGACAATAAGCAAAGGTCATTATAGAGTTACCACGGATCACCTAACGGATCGGCAACTCTCCCCGCTTCCCATTGTTCCCATTAGGTATGTGATCCGTGGAGTTACGACGTACGGGAATGAGTTATCAGCTGTCTAATCGTAGACAACACAATGTCGAATTTAAACTGTACCTAAGCCTGTATTGGTATTGTTTCTTTAATTTGGCTGTCGAACATTAATTTATGGTTTGAAATATTATTTTATGTAAAATAATTGATGTGAAACAGCCGTCTCTAAAGTTATGACCCCATCTCACCACATGAAAGTGGCAGAAATGACAATGATCAGCTGACGCATTTTTCTTGGCCGAAGTCAAAGCGCGCGGCCCGACGCACCACCACCGCACCACAAAGTATGAGCAGAAGCCGCGCCCAAAGCCAGGGCCCCGGTAACGTGAGGTAGCCGAGTCGGGACAGCGTGCGCTGACCCAAGCCGGGGCCGCGGCTTTGGGCGCGGTCTACCGCATCCTCGGGCAGCCCCGGGCTATCACATGACACCGGGAGGACGCGCGGCCCCGACTTGAGTCAGCGCACGCTGCCCCGACTCGGCTACCTCACGTTACCGGGGCCCTGGCTTTGGGCGCGGTCTACCGCACCACCTAACAGGCGTGTTCGAAACCGCAGGAGATGATGATGAACGGGTTTATCGTAACTTGATTGGATGAGCCTATCGGTAATAGCGATTTCAGTGTGTGCATTTATTGTTCATAGTGGTGTGAAATGTGGTTGGGGTACGACCGACAACCCGTCGGGGCGAATTTCGCACTGGGGTACTCAAAATTTGAAGAATTTAAGACGTTTCCATGAGTTTTGAAGGTATGGATAAGTTCTAAAAATCCGGTTCTCCTTATCTGGGCCATTAACTCCATACGGTCCAGGAAAGCTGGCACCAGGCACACTACCTTTAACCGTGAAGTTTCTTAGTGATAATTTCATTCTGTTTGTCCTAGTATATGAACTTATCCAAACACAGAGGACTCGTTTTGTTTTAAAGTCACCAAGTGGCCAGTTCTAAAGTGCACTTGCGTTTAAATTTTAGAAGCTATAGACATCTATTGCATAGCATTAAGCATAGCATCCCTAAGCTACGGTTTGCAGTGGCTACAGCTCATGACTACAGCTCATCGTTGTACGGTTGTTTTAAACATTTAACCTTCGCCCCAGTGGGGGGGCATATGTTACCACCCTGTCGCGTTTTTTGCGTGTGACTAAAAAACCGCGGCGCGTAGCGCCGCGCCGCTTGGGGTAGCTTTTGGTACATCAATTTCGGACAATGTGTGAAATTTTTGACCCCAGGTCATGTCAGGTCAGGTCACCAGGTCAAGTTAACTGACCAAGCCTAAAAAAAAGTTTGCAATCATGTCCAGCCTACAGTGTTTGTCAGAAAGATTTGAAACTTGGTGGATTGCATGCTGTTATGGGCGCCTACAATTTGTATATCTCGGATTTTTTATATCTGTGACCTAAGGTCAGGTCAGTGGCGTGACCTTTCCATTACAAGTCAATGGAGAAAAATGAAAATGCCTCTAGATCCGTGTGTACGCATCGGAACAGTCCAAATATTTCAGAATCACAATGATTTAGTCCACTCGTGATGACCAAGGTGTCATTTTTGCTGATAGCCTCTAGACAGGTCATCCGAGGTCACTTGAGGCTACAAACAGTTTTTTTGCCAATAACTCGCGATTGGAAAGAGATAGAACGCTGGGGATGGTCTCATTGTGTTTGTCTTGTTGAGACGCATCGATTGATATGCAACATGACCGTTTCCGGTCAGGTCATGACCTTGACCTGAGGTCAAATTTTCAAGTTGACCTTTCAAGGTCAAATTATAGTTCATTCGACGCGTCTCGGCGAGGGGAACACGATTCTGGCCATAGAAATGTCGTGGCTTTTTGGAGTCGAAAGTTATTGTCGAAAAACACTTTCCGTAAAAACAGCTATTTTTGGAGTTTTTGCCCTCTGGAGGCTACACCGTTGACCTGAGGTCAATATTGATAATGACCTTTTCAAAAGAAGAGTTCAAAAGCTATCGTTTGGTCTTCCATGCGTTTTTCTAGCTACCATAGTTCCTGAGATAGCGGCATGTTTTCTGAAAAATATAATGACCATTGGCAAATTTTGACCTTTGATGACCTCTGGTGACCCCAATATTGCTCTAAGGTGAAAAATGACCGAAATACTTTCAAACGTACGCATTGAGAGCTATCGACTGCTTTTTACCGCGTCTTTCTAGCCCTCTAAATTTTTGAGTTAGAGGTGGGTGGTAACATATGCCCCCCCCCCCCCCACTAGGGCGAAGTTGGCTGAGACCGCCACTGGGGCGCGGGTTAACTGTTGACGTCTTTGGTTAGCGTAAAAAGTAACATCCCTTGCATCCATACAACTTACAAGGCATAAAAATTTAACCGCTCTCAGTCGAATGAAAAGCCGGTTACCTTATAAAATAAAGACGGTATATTTACAATTAGGTAATCGGGCCATAGTATGCATGCAAGCTAGGGGTTGGCGCTTCGCTTTGCAGAGGCTGATTTGTACGCTTTGTAATGCATTTACACTAGATTTGCAAGTGATGTAAAGCCTACGAGCTATTGGGAACACCCGACGGCAAATAATTAATTGTTATCAAATACATGTTAGAAGCCAAAGGGAGTTTTCATCCCTCACCTTCATCGGTGTTTACCCGGCCGCTAACCAGTTAACCACTAACGTTTAGGGGGTGGATCGGACCCCTCTCCCAGCCGTTTGACCGCCACTCAAGCTACAGCTTTGCGGAAATCACGAACGTGTTGACTGTTGCCCGTGATGAGAGAAACCCAATGTGATACCAAAACTAATGATAACCAATTTTTAGGTCCTGGGTCATTGGTTGACCATCCAAGTCAGGTCAACGACCTAATTGTCGAGAAAGTCAGAGCCATGCCCTCGAAGACATAATTTTATGGAGTTTTTGGAGTTCCGATTTCGAATTCCGCATTTTTTCATTGGTTTATTTAATTATTGTTCAACGATGATGCATTCATACATTTAGGCCAGGACGAATCAAGTCGGGTTGGGTCAGCCATCAGGCGTCCCGCCGGCTATCCATAGTAGGTGCCTACTGCCAATCACCACAGCCAGCTTCATAACGTGTTGCATAGGAACCAAAACAACGAGTTTCAAATGTTCAAATGCGTGCTGAATTCGGCGCTAAATTTGCAATTTGCGATCACCTCCAAAAACTGCCCAAAATAGTTGTAAAACTTACGAACTATTCGTGAACTACCGAGGGATTCCGTCCCCCCTCTAAATTCGAGGGTTAAAATATCATAGCACACACCAAACCGGCTAAACGAGGGTTCCACAAGGCGGTATTTAACGTGAGTATTCCCCACCTACAATCTTAGAGAACTGCGGTACCGACTACCGATACTTTTGTTAGGTATTTCTTTACCGCAAGCACCCCATGTGACCGTACCGCCTTGACAAGGTCTTCTTCCCTCTGATTTCAGTGAGGCGTGAGAACGACGAAATGTACCGAGGCCACGGGGCGCCAGGCAACTCGTCCACACCAGTGAATGCCACGGATGTAACACCTCGGCCGGCCCTCAACGATGGATAGCCAGAGCGACTGGAAGGAGATCCATATCCAGGATTCCTATCCAGGATGATCGACGACCAGGGTGTACGACGGGTGCCGCCCCCACGCCAGTCAAAACACCACAGGGACCACTTCTGGTGGTGGGACCTGAGAGGGAGGGACTGCGGTCCCACCCGGCGCACAATCTGTCCCACAGGGCAGGGCTACGTCTGGGACGCAGAAGGTAGGCTCAGTGGCCAGACAGGACGGCGGGTAATTTGATACAGATCCACGCACGCCGACGGTCCCGCTCGTGTCATCTGTAGATCGACAATGGTCATGTGGGGAACGCACGTTATATGTGCGTCAGCTCAGCTAGAACGGAAGGCTCACATCACCCATAATACGCCAATGTTGACGATGTTTAGTCACTAGCCGGTTCCTAGCAGATCGATACTAAGAGGTTCATGAGCGCAATAGAACTGAGCTCGTTTACCATTGATGCGGTCAGTAGCTCGATCCATACCTCTTAGCTGCTCATCCAGTGATCCAGCGAGTAGAAGTCATGGCGACCTTGCTGACCAGGCTAGTACCAAATAGGATATTGATGAAATACGTTCGTCAGAGGTGTGCACTGTGCAGCGTCCTGGGATGTCTGTAGGGACTGACGAATTGCGGGGTGGTTCGAGTGACTCACCACCGCCGGAGGCCCCGGCGCACCGGGGTCTCAGTAGAGCAATACACGATAACGGAGCGGGTCAGTGTCTGTACGGACCGCCGGGCGCGGGCGGCGGGTCGCCACCGGGCGAGGTTCGCCGGTCCCGGGGGCCGCCCGGCGGCGACAGAGGCGGCGGCAGATGGTAGGAGCGAGCGATCGATGGCCGACAGGGCGGGCAAACACTCCCACCCGGGTATCGCCGCCGATTCACAGACGGCCACCCCACCAAAGGTCATTTCACAGTCCGCCAACCCACCAAAGGTCAGCTCATGGACCCAGCAAAGGTCGGCCATCGATACACATCCCACGGATTGGACAGAGTTCATTTTGTTCACCTAATAAACTGTCCGTCAGACCACTCGATCCAATTTCGTTTCTCTGGTCAGTATGGCCCCAATCATCCCCTTTAGAGTAACTGTTCTCCTCTGCTATCCAGACGTATTGAAACAGCATAGAGCCTGTCTAACTACATAACTCTCTCACCAACTGTCATCTCTCCAGCTGTTCCTTCGTATATCTATAACCCAAACCGAGCGTGACATGCGGCCGGTTCACAATAACCGTGATGCCGAAATGTGTTGACGAACAGCAGTGTTGCATCGGACTTCTCGCTTCAGCAAACTTCGCATGTAATAAAAACATGAAAATGTATTTCAAAGAGATAATGCCTGTAAATGACGTCACGTCTTTTAAAACCACCCGGAATATCTTTCTTTAAAAAATGGCATGAAACGTGAAAATAAAGGACACCTCAAAAGATGGCACGCGTTAGACGCGGCATGTAGGCCGGTAGGGGACGATGGCAAGATGGGACCGCCTGGCAACGATACCGACGGAGTTTTGAGCGACCTGTGTCAGTACCAGGGGAGGTTGATCTTGACATGAGCTGAGCACGCCTAAAGCTCGCAAGAGAGGGTCCCAGGCCCGTGGTCCTCTGGCAGATACTCCAGGGCCGGGTCCTCCAGTGAAAGATGCCGCCAAGAACAACAGCGAGATCGGCAGTGGGTGGTTCACACACGTACAGCCACGCGGACGGCCGGCCCCGCGCCGGTATCCGTTTGTATAAAACACGTCACCGAGCAGGAGCTGCCCCTCGGTTTGGGGCGCCGCAGGGGACGGCTGTGCTGAGCGGAGGCAGCGCTGGCCGCCTGATACTGCGCCGGCCGGCGGTCACTCTGCCGACACTCCGTCCGCTGGGGAGACGGAGGGAGGGAACAGCGTCAGAGCAGCGGGGGTGAGGGGGCGGGGGGGGGGAGATAGACCAGACAAGAACACAGACAGACACACTTATACACATTCGACATCATTTTGCATATCAGGATGGTGTTTCGACATTACGGTAAAAAAGCACATTGCTACAGGAACGCAACATGGAACGCGGCCGAACGACCACAACCACATATCACGAAATAAACTTGGGTGATTACACGCATACACACGCATCACAAGACACAGTATTACTGTTGCCTGTACAGTGTATAGTATACATACAGTCGCGCACGATTACTCAGACAACACGGCGAGGGACGCACGTGTTGACACTATGCTACACAAATAGGCATCATGGCAAATGACTGGTTAAGAGCACAAATACCACGAAGAGGAGCAAAAGTCGATTCAGTCAGTACTACCAGAAAATCTACATCGCAGAGTAAAATTCACGTAAAAGAAATATCTGAAGCGGTGTAACTATGTAATTAAGTGAACCGACACAGTGCTGAGGAGACGGAGGGGCACACTCACTGGCGCGTCGCAGCTTGTCGGCCAGCGGGTCGCTGCGCGGCAGGTAGTACGTCAGCGTGGCGCGCTGGTAGTAGTCCGGCACCAACTCCAGGTTGTTGATCACCGTCGACAGGAAGTGCGCCTTTCCCACGTGCGTGCCTGCCGGCCCGGGCCAGGTTGGAGGTCAGGTGTTAGCTGCAGCTTCACCTTCAACTGTCAATGACAGCTATCAATGAGAGGCGAGCTGATGGTGGGGGCACAGAGTCGCCGTCCCCGCTCACCACTCTGGATGTAAAGTAACACGCGATTTTGACGTGCGACGGAGAATGACGCACACAAGAACACAGCGAACAAAGAACTCAAAGACGACTTTGATACAGCTTTCACGTAACTGTTGCCTGCCAATACTTATGTCATTGCTTTGGGTAGACCTGCAATGTCTATGCCAGCTGATAAATTCCCATCAATGAATGGTTGTCTCCACCGCGCCGGTAAATGGGCACCACTGTGACGGCTGAGAACCCGACTTTCCAAACAGGCCACATAAAAGGACCACTGCTCACCCCTGTCGACTCACGCCACACAACAAAGCAGGACCGGGAGGCACCACAATGTAACGGGTATTTTCGCTGTGGACAGACTAGCGTGGTATGTATATACCTATACGACTGCTACATTACAAAAATTGTCCCAGGGTACAGGACTTTTTTTAGAATACATCGTCCGTTCTTTGAAACCAGCGTTCATTTAATGAGGACCCTCCATTTAACTGTTTGTCTCAATTTGTTTCGCCGGCGCCTCAGTCCAATTTCGCTTCCCGATGATTCCCGTTGCTGCCGGTCCTCCGTAAACAGGTTAGGTCGCAGGTGGCTCACGCGCCGCTCGATTGAGCTCCGCGTCGGACAAACAAGGCACTGAGGCGGCTGAAACGGCCGGTACTCGGCGCCGGGCAGGGCTGGGTGGGCGACAGTAGCCATCTATCAGGGACCGCACAGGTCGGCCGATGTCAGGAGGAAGGAGCTACTAGAAACGGTGTAGGAACTGGGGTGCTGGGGTCAACCGCTCCACGGTCCCTCCCGTAACATCACCGCCCCACCATCTGCACAACGAACTATAGTGGTAGTCCGCCGCCGCCGGAGCTAGCCCGGGTCATTAGCACAGGAGTAACCCGCGCCACACGACAGAGGCGCCCTGCACGCCGGCCACTCACCGGGCGCATCGAACTGGACCGATGTGAAGTGCACATGCAGGTGGTAGTAGGACGGCTGGTAGTGGAAGTACACCCGCAGTTCGGACGCCGGCACGCCGTACTTCTTCTCAATAGCCTCCTGGGGAGAGGAGAGAGAAGGGGGCGGTCAGCAGCTGCCCTCGGCCGGGCTGTGCAGCGCCCACAGATATCCAACATGGCCAGTCGGTACCACTGGAAAGACGGAATTACTCGACTTACTCTACCTAAACTATCAGCAATCACGGACAATACCTCTCGCTGTCTCAGAGGCTTATGTAAAAGATTGACAGATTATCTGTGCTACCCTCAGCTCAGCACTCGCCCGTCAGCTCGCCATCCCTCCCCCTCCCCCCCCCACTCACACAGCCCCTGTCGCGAATGTTGCGCAGCAGCGGCAGGTGGTCGGCCGTCAGGTCGCGGATGGAGCGCAGGCCGCGCCGGTGCACCAGCGCCTGCAGGTACAGAGACTCGAGCGACTCGCCGTCCCACTTGAGGTCGGGCACCAGCACGAAGCCCGTCTCTGGGTCGGCGTCCTCGCAGACGATCCGTTCCTGCTCGCTGCGGTGCTCCAGGATGTTGTACACCCACTGGGAGAGCGGCACGACAACGTCAGACCAGACCACGCAGTATGTCGAGAGCTTAGCATGCCAGCGCATGCACACATATATACACACAAATTGCAAACATAATACCTGCCAATAAAAATAGGGAGCAGACATTAGTAACATATTAGTAGCTCTACCAAAAAGGTAAATAGCAATTCATGAATGACAAAATGATTATGTATAGGTTACAAAATGGTGTAAAGAGACATCTTCAGCCCATGGCAGCATTACCATTACAAAAAACATATGGCATATATTCCTCACCTGGACATTGAATGCAGATTCTTTGAGATGCTCCAGAAGCACATCTTTGTACAGCTGTGGTGTTTCATTGACAATTATTGACTCCTTGGCACTAAACTTGGCTATATGTTTACTGGTCGCCGGATGAATGATGGTAACTTTCACACCTGGAAAGTATGTTCTGGTCTTCATACTGAATCATACTGTGCTGTGTTTGCAGCCTTTCTGATCCAGGGTTAACTGACCTTCATCAGGAACTTATGCACTCAGTTTACAATTTTACATCTGCCCTTATTTTTAGGTAAACAGCATGCATAGGGATTTTTATTCACGATCGATGGCAACACAAGTCAAATTCCTCGATCGTGAATAACACTCAATCATGTCTGATCATTTACAAATGCATAGGGATATCTGAATTATTATGATTGAGAATTAATAAAAATCAATGGGCAATCAGCAAAACTTTATGAACAGCTTACAGCTCAGTCAAATAAATGGATCAGGAAGACTGAAAATCTTATTGAGCTAAGGTTCTATGATTGCATCAAATCTCAAATAAAACCTATCCTCAGTGGTACTTCAGATGACAGCTACTTACCATTCAGCTCCTGCTGAGGGAATCCAGTGTAGCTTCCATAGATATCATTATGGAATGTCTGCTTCAGGGTAGTATCAGACTCCAAGATCTTCTTGCCACACTCCTCAGTGAAGGCAGATTTCTCCAGGAATACAACGGCAGGGTCTGTGCTACCATCCACAGTGGCTTTCAATGCCAGTGTTTTTCTGACTGGGTCTTCCTTTAGAACCTCACCAAACTTGAACTTTGCGAAGTCTTTCAAGTCAAGGTGAATATCAGTATCACCTGCATTGTTGGAATCTTCAGTTTTGGCCCTCTTGGCCTCAGGCTCATGATGATCTGCATCAGAACTCATTTTTAAATTCAGATGCTGTATGTTCACAAAACTGTCAGTCTAATTCCTGAAAGAAATTCAGCATGATTAATAAAGACAGAAAGGCTTACCATTGATAAGATCTGGGATTTTAGCTGAAATGCTAATAAAAGAGTAGGTACTTTTTAAATCAGAACGGGTATAAAGAACTCATCCTTAGCAGGGTAACCAGTGTCACTGCCATTAAATTAAGCTGCACTTAAACACAAGTAACCTAATGGGTTATGAGTCTCATGATCGACAAGAATGATTTAAATAATATACCTATCTATGGTTTGCATTGAGATAGCCTTCAGCCTTGGGACTTTGATTATGACTTGCTAAGAATAATTAGGGGCAAATGTCATGCACATTACAGAAGAGAACAAAAGAACACAGGCAGTAAAACACTTAGGTATGTTGTTTGTACTTTGAAGCAGGCATTAATTCAAGTCTAACAACACATTTTTAAATTAAGTTATACCTTTTCAGCAAAACAATTATACTTCTAACACAAAATTGCCTCTAAATTTATTCATGGGTTCAGACTCATGGGTTCCAGAATCCAGAATAGCTTATAACAAATGGTGCCCTTAAATAATATATCTCATGTAATCAGAAACAAAATTAAATACATAGAGATGAAACCCAGTCAATTCTCTGCATTATTATTTAAGAAAAAATATTGGTGAGCTAATTTAGGATTGAATGCAACAAAACTGATACGTAAATGTAAACTAAACTAGGCATCTTAGGGATGTTGTGCACTGTGCAAACAAACAGGGAATCTGAATCTTCAAATATCAGGTCAATTGCCATATCAGGTCAAGTTGTGCAAAGGCGGCGGAACGGGCCGGGGGGGGGGGCACCGTGCCCCCCTTTGATTTTGGCATTTTAACATTAGCCCTATGGGTGTTGCATGGAAAGAATGAGACCAAAAGTCGGCAGTGCCCCCCTTAATTGAAGGTGTTCTGCCGCTACTGAAGTTGTGTCCCTTCAATATCATCACCTTATGGCAGTGGAATCTGAAAACAGGGCGCCGGAGGGCATTTTTAGTTAATGATTATTAGGATATTCTCCACCACCTGGTGCCTTTTACAGGCAAATTGTCACAAATTAGGTCAAGCAAATTTCAAGATCCTTGATCAAATCGCCCCAGGCACCCTGTTTTCAGATTCCAGCCTTATGGATTCGGTAAGTGGGTACTCTCTTGGCAGACGTCGCCCTTCCTGCCATATCTACATCTCACGTGCTGTGCGCCGCAACTGTCTTTTCACAGTTAAATCAAAACATAATCTAACCTGACCTAACCCTACCTACAACCTACATCCTACAACCTACAAACCTACAGCCAACCCTACTACAACTAGGCATGGCAGCACGGGCAACGTCTGCTAAGAGAATACTGGTAAGTGTGCAAGAGTTTTGAAAGAGTTTCAAGCAGAATCAGGTAGATTTGGGGTTCAGTTGGATATGGTTTTCATTTCTTGAAATATTCGCATGCCAACAAGGACCACAGCTCAACCACAGCTGTAAAGAATAAAAAATAACGCAGCATTGCCAATTGCGGCGCAGAACGTTAGGTCCCTGTGCGCAATATACCTTTTTAGTCCAAAACATTACAAAAACCAATGTTAACCAATAAGATCGTTTGCATCCAATGAACCATTACTTTCACACAATATGTACGTATTTACTATCATTTAGATTTTAGGATACCCTCTCACCGCCCACCGGCCGTAATTTTGCGCTCGTTTGTTTACATCAAGGTCACAAATTTACGCTACAAAACCACTGCATTTTCACCGGACTTATAAGTATGCAAGCTTCATTATGGTTTTGCAAACTGTGGTGTAACCCATTTCACAAATTTTCATTTACACAAGGCCATATTCAACATAAATATTGATAATAAATGCTTATAGTGACCACACAAAACAAATGGCAATGCTCCACTATGACTAGGGCGGAGTTCAACAAAGCGCGCTATGTCCTTTGCCATCCCTCAAATCTCAATCTTTTCTCACTACTCACAAATCCTAATCCGCAAGTCAAACCCCTGGGCCCTTGGTTCGGATCACCTTTTGCAAGGCGTGGTGGTCTGTTCCTCGAAACGGGCTCTGTCTCGGTATGGATGATAGCGGCAGCCGGCGCCACTACCCAAACCAGTGTCACTCTACCCGCTACCCACTTCTCTCCACTCTTCGCAACTTTCCCGTAACCCCCTTACCTATTCTTAAAATCCTTCTAACCCTGCTCTGAATTGATCTCAATGGACATAAAAAGTCTAACCCAGCAAAATAAACAAGCAAAAAAAAAAAAAAAACATCGCCTGCAGCGTGCTTTCCCAGATAGCAGGCACTCGAACGGCTGGAGGCATGGATTCTAACTTACGGCGGGTCCGCTGGGTACTCGGCCAATCACCACCTCCACCCATAATCCTGTCATAAATGCACAAATGCTGTGTAGGGCCTCAAAAGATCTTTGTTGACAAATGTGAGACCACTAGCGATAGTCACAGGGTGCTGTATGATCTGGGGAACCGACGCTGTGAGGACCTACCAATGACTGATCACTGAACTCCGAAGTATGGCAAACACGGCTATCGGTCTGCGTCATATAGATCCTTACCAATGATAAAGCTTTGAGCCTTCGAGAACCACTCAAATGCGTTTATACTTCAAACGGAGTCACTCAGAGCAAAATCGATCGAGGCACCCCGGCACCATGAGTCCATAAGCATCGCACCAGAGTACCCCCTGGTAATGAAAATGATGACTCGATAAAGCTGGTACAATATCCTTGACACTGGTAGGCTAGTTCAAGTTGCAAGTGATAAGCGTCGGATTTGAGAATGAATTATTAGATGTCCCACTGTCGTTACTTCTTCCAACGCATAACACTGAGACCACATGACTCACTGCAACAAAATGGCGTGTTTGAACGTAGAACTGATATGAAAATTTGTCAAGCAAACGTAATCCACGAACAATTGTAGAAAATACTTAGAGATGTATTGATACAGGATTGATTATTCATACCACCATCAAGCCAAACAATGCACTGACAGACAAAATAAGGAAATGTTCGTGTGAAGAGGTCGTGAAAGACACCAAACGCCAAGTTATGTGGTATGAAAGGTAGACAGCGTCATTCCCCATTCACAATTTAATCAAAATCCTATTCCTGTCATCCATACATGTTAGGCAGTAGCAAACGTCCGTCTTTGTGTACACTTGCGCCACGGTGTTCGCTGAGGCTGTACGGTGCGGCTGCGGCCTACCCGCTTCTCCAAGTCCGTGGCTCGGACCGGGTCCCGCCGTGAGCGGTCGAACGCGCCGGACTGCTGCCCACCGGTCACGTGGTGGTCATCGCCTCGGGCGGCATGAATCCGGCGTCGCCCATGAAGTCCAGTTTGACCCTGCCGTTGGGCAGCACGGTGAGCCAAGTGAGGCTGGCGTGCCGCAGGCTGAACCGCAGCCACGCCTCGGGCGGCAGCTGCAGCGCCCGGCACACGAAGTAGCGGATCACGTTGGCGTGGCACACGACGATCTCGTACGAGTCGCGCTCCTGATCGGGCGCGGCGCGGTGCACGAACCGCCGGAACGCCGCCTCGATACGCGGCCCGTCCTCGTAGAACCGGCGCGGCCCCGGCTGCCAGTGGCGCAGCCGCGGCTCCGGCGGGATCGGCGCGCCCTCGCGCAGTAGGTCCGAGGTGGAGACGGGCGGCGCCGCCTCGGCCAGCTCCCGGTGGATGATGTCCGAGGTCTCCAGCGCGCGCGACATGCTCGAGCGGATGATGGCCGTGTAGGGCAGGCCCAGCCGGCGCAGCTGGGCGCCCGTCAGCGCCGCCTGCTGCCGGCCCAGCTCGGTCAGCACGCGCTGCTCGTCGGTGGCACCGTCCAGCTGGTACTGGCCGTGCCGAATCAGAATGAGGTGGCGGCGTGCCTTGGCCTTGGCCTTGCTCAGCGATTCCTGATAAGGAGCATGATCCTTCAGCTCAGCCTCGCTCAACCCCTTGGGTGGCTCAACCAGAGAGGTTGGAGCACGCTGGTCCCAGTTAGAGTCCCACTTAGTGGTGGGCTGAGCAATACCACCACTGAAGCGGTCTGGGGCACTGTACGAAACCAGAGGCAGGGCATCATCAGACCGGCCAGGCTCTGTGGGTAAGGCAGGCTTTTGCCCTGGCTTCAACAGAAGCACCGCCGAGCCACCGCCAAGAGCACCCAGGCCCACCAGCACCAGTCGTGGCACACGTGCCCCAGCTGATGCCATTTTTGTGAACTAGCTATCAGCAGGGCACTAATATCAGCAGTCACGCAGGCTGAAAAAGCAAGATATGATCAAAGTTACAATTGTAAGCAGTGTTACAGAGACAGACGGGCAGGCACCTAAGTAGCCAAGCGGGAAGCAGGGCAACACACACAAAAGTCAATTTGCATTACGACAGCAAAATATAGAAGCCTTGAATAAATTCATAAATCCAGCGGGATGAATAATTTTTTCTTCTTCTTCGAGCCTCGATCTATAATTTCCAATATTGAATGAAAACAGCTACCTATGTCAATGTACCAGTACAAACAAGTACAGAAGGACGATAGCAAAGACAGAAAATGCTCATTTATAACAAGGTCAAGTGACCAATGCTGTAGTAGCGTAATTAAAATCTTTGAACGGGATATAGTGGTCCATGGTCCATTCCAATAAGCATACAGATCAATTTCATAAAACAAAAACATACAAGATAAAGGGCGAAAATATATTGAGTGCTCGCGAGGGAACACAAAAATATTATTATTACCACAAAAAAAAATACTAAGGCCATCTATAAGAAATATCTACTTACATTACGAAATAGATATTTTTGATGACGTATTAAGTAAAGCAATCTTTTCAAGTTTTTTTCTCATTTTGCTTTGTAAATTATATTTTTTTATGGCAAACATATACTTTTAGCTTTGCTATGATGCTTTTATTAAAAGATAATAAATAAAAGTTTTGAATAAATATTTGGAAAATATTGTTGATGGGTTCCTATGACGCAATTCTTTATCTTAAGAAATGTTATATTACATTCAGGGAATTGCGCATTTGTTACAAATGTGAATTACCCTTGGAAACCAGGGTTACCAAAGCTTGGGATTTGTCCCAAGATCTTGGGATATTGAACCCGACCTTGGGACCTTGGGATTCAACAGCAAACCTTGGGATTTGTCCCGAGCTTACGACTCCCGCTAATTTTAGCACATTTTTTAATCATTGGAAAAAGGAAAAGTATTAATAAAGACCAAACAAAGGAATCAGGAACACATCTAACACAACTTAATTGTTTTTTTTTTTGTAAACCGTCTTTTTTGGACGAACACAACCGAGCGTTCTTTCGTTTGGTTTCACTGTACAGTCACCAGCACTTGCTACCCATCACCCCCGGACGGCGGGGGAGCAAGTTACCACCGCCCTTGCGAGACTAGCGCCGCCATGCGCCAAGAAGTGGAAACACCACGTGACTGAGGCCACGTGAGGGCAGGGTCACGTGATGGAGGGGCGGAGCATAGTAGCTTTTGCGCCCGACACTAACTGAAATGCGGCGCTGTGATTGGGCGCCTTAGCATGCAAGGCCTCGTCTAACATGTTAACTGGGGGGGCCAAACCCCCGCAGTCACCGGCCTGGCCCCCCCAGTCAGGACAAAAATGTCCCTACTGGGGGGGGGCCAACGGTGAAAAGGCAAATGAATATTTACTGCGAGGCGTCAACGCACATAAAGACAAATGAGTCAAGAAAACATCGATGCAATGTAAGCATATTTAAATATACCCGATTACCTGTGGCTGTTATCGCAATGCAAATCTCTGTTTATGTTCTCGGGCGTCAATCTGTTGTTTGTTACCTATCGTTGTCCCCACTACGCAACGTCTAGCTTCTGGTTTGAAGGTCGCTGGTGAGCGGTGAGAGTAGTCCCTAATCGTTATGAAGCAAGCTCCCGTTCTTGGTGATCATAAGCGCAGCTTGGTGGCCTGTCGGCTGTCGCTTCAGGAGACGGGAGCATACAGCAACATTAACTGTCAACTGGGTTATCTAAAGAAGTTAACATGGGTTCTAGGAGGGCATATGCCAGCTAATTTTGGGTCTACACCGTTCTCAAAGTGCACTACAACACCGATCCCTGATTGTCTCGCTCTAGCCGCTGACGGCCCTAATTATGTGTCTGAGATGTCTGAGACGGTGATTACGATTAGGGAGAATCCCCCTGAGAAGGTCTCAGTCTCCAAGCTGTCACACAGGCATTATCCTGGCCTGATAGGGCCCTACGTGGGAAAATGCGGTCTTCACTCAGATTTGACCTCAAAGCGTATGTAGTATGCGGATCATCAGAGACCAGTATTTGCTAGCAGAGGCAGACGTGGGTCCAGAAGTCGGCATTGGCCCTCCGAGATCGGCATCGGGTGCTCAAAAGCCGGCGGGGACCCATCAGGATACGATTCACAGAAAAAAAAACGTTCGGGCCCTCGGCATAAGGCCCACAGGAGCCGCACGCCAGCCGGCGAAGGCCGGCTGGCGTGCAAGGTAGAGTTGCATGGTAGAGTAATGTAAACAGAGGTAGTCTGGGGACACTTGATAAGCTACAAGGTACCGTACCTGGGACCTCAGATACCTGGGATCTCAGACCTCAGATACCAGTGTAGATTCGTCGGAGAATGGCTCATGTCACGCAGGATCATTTCAAGCTAACATAGGCTATCAAAGGTCGGCATGGGCCCTAAAAAGCCAGCGTGGCTTTCGTCTGTCAGGAACCTACGTGGGGCTCTCAAAGGCTGGCACTGAGATCTCAAGCGATCAGTTGGCCGACAGACTACATAGACTGATTTGGAGCCGACAGAGCTCAGCGTGAGCTCTTTAACTTTGCAATTTAGCACGAGCACAGTGCAGGGCGCAGCGTCTCGTTTCAGGGTCCACCTTTGTCTTCAATCATCCATCTGCAAGAAGACGGTATGCTCGAATAGGAACGACCGCCTTTACCGCTTGCCCCCGCATTTGCTCGTATAAACTTGCTAGGATGAGGCAGATTCTCAGTGCATTGGAGGACATCAATTGTCGATTTCGCTCGGTTATTCTCGATCAGAAAATATTTCATTTGAAACGTTCTAACTCTACTTTGCACGAACCAGAGGAGTCAAGAAGCGCATACAAAGAAATAATGGCTCTCTCATAGCCATAACGGGAGTAAGTCGTTAAAGTTTGATTCAGATCAACAGTTTAGCCTTCGAGGATGGTATGATGAACAAACTAATGTAAGAGCATGGCTCGGATGTCCTTTTTTCGGTTTTCTTAAGTTTTCAAAAAAAAAACATGGTGTCAGGGCTGTGGCGAAAAATAAGTGGCCTAAATCCGATGAGAAAACGGGATTTGTGAGTAGGTACCTTAGGTTTGGCTCCTTGAGTCTCTGGCCCCCCTAGTGAAAATTCCTTAGACGAGGCCCTGTTAGCATGAATGAAGCCCCGGCGCCAGAATCAGCCGTTCGCCTTATATGGAAGGTAAGCCTGTGCGTTTCACTGTTCTGTGTTGGTTTGAGAGCCACGGCACCATACGAATTGTGAGCCCCTTTGAACGGGTCACCGCCCGAGGCACTGAGGCGACGGCTGTGCCGGGCAAAGCCTAGCCTGGTGGGAGAGGTGGGCCAGGGAAAGTGCGATCGAGCAGCCACACTGAGACGTGGATTGGTATTATCTAACCGCGACAAACGATGCAGCCTCTTCTCGTTGACACGAAAAGTTTGACAGACAACGTGGGCAGTGCCCAATCAAAAGCTACTAAACGATTCAGTTAAGAAGTTGGCGAGATAACCAGACCCAATAAAAAGTTTTTAATTCGATTTTGATTGACAAATGAATACAAGTCCGCTGTGATAGACCAAAAAAGGAGCTGAACAGTTCACACAACTTCTAAAAAGCTCAACGGTAATTTTTTTTTTTGCATGTCCGGAGTCACCGGTATTGTATTAGGTAATCATCGGATAACTGATAATGTGCATATACAAACACACGTGTAGATATACACCACCGAAAATTTAAAAGTCAAATGTTAAAATTCAGCCTGCATGTTTAAACTCGGGTCCGGCGCTGGCAGGAAGCTTATATTGCCAAGCTTGCAATTCCACTACGTTGTAATATAACCAAGAGTTATGTGAGAGCAACAACTGAAAGCCTCGAGCCCCGTTGGGGGGAGGGGGGCACGAAACAGCTCCCTCTCCTTTTCAGTCGATATCTCCTAAAGTATAGCGTAGGTCGCCACCAAACTTTCAAGACCCCTCCGGGCATCATTTTACACCTTGTGACCAAATTTTTCCAGAGCTCTTATAAAAGGTTAGTCACAAATGACGTCAGAGTGACGTCATGTTCTGTCATTTTCGACCCAATAAAAGTTTTAGCGGGAAGAGCTGTCACGCTTACAGTTTTGAAGATAACAAAAAATAGGTATTCAAGATAAAAAAGATGTAAAATAAACAGCGCTACAAAACTGCCAACTCTGATTTCTAAACAAAAATTGATTTCGACCATCAAAACTATAGAAGTATAACACCCCGAAAATACCAACAACATTCAAAATTAAAGCTGGAATATATGTTATAGAACTAAGAATATATGTTATAGAACTCTAGATATGCCAAACTTAAACTCGACAGCTCCATTTTTAGCAAAGTTATGGCAAAAAAAAAACTACTCAAAATGTATTACGTAAAATTTTCAAACTCAATTTTTAGCCGTCACAGAACACACAGAGCAAGCCAAAAACCACCACTGGATTTCCCGTGATGAGCTGCATCGAATAGATACCCCTTTTATGCAAAATATCAACTCTGAAATTTAACCTTTTTTGACCTGACCTTGACCTGACCTCCACCAGAACGTAATCTAAACCGGCCCCAATGGCCGTCTAGCCCACACCATTGAATTTTAAATGTAAAATTGACCATAAAACATGTATCACGCGACCCTAGCAATTAGCATAGTTGGGTTCATATTGTGACCCTTAGTGACCTGACCTCTTTGACCTGACCTGGCATCAGTGACCTCTTTAAGCAACATATGTATTGGGCAACCACGCTCCATCGATGTTTTTCGATAGCATGCCTTTTATTTGATGAGTTAACTGACTGTAACGCATTCCTTAGACTGAATCGGTGAAAAAATGCAACCTTTGACATGACTTGTAACGTCATTGGTTGCACCTAGGTCAACGAAACCTGGTAACAAGGTTCGATAGCCCCTGGTGGGACTATCGAACGTTCTTCGAATTTTCAAAATCGGTCGGTAACTTTCCGAGATCTCAGGTGGAGGACGAAACGGCTGCACCACTCCATCAGGTGGTAGGGTCCGCCAATAGCCCAACGGGGCGCGAATTATTTACTCATTCATACAGTGTCATCTATTTTGAGAACACCTTTCTCACGCCATGACATGGTCCTCTCGTAATAGATCGAGATGAGGAGTGTTTTCACACGCCTCCTTATGCACGGCTCTAGTGTCATTGAGCTATCAACTGTCAGCGGTTTTCGGACCATGAAGGAAGGCTTTTGGTCGTTTCTTATTTCAGTGGCGGATCCAGAGGGGGGCATGGGGGCCATTCTCCCCCCCCCCTTGGGCCTCCCGGGGCCCATCACGGAGTTTTGTTTTAAATTCATCACGGAGGTCACCGACGGGAGTTATAACCCAGAGGTCTCCTAAGGGGGCACCATCCAGAAGGTCTATCGGAATAGGGTACCGTTTTCGGGGTCTCCCGGAGGCCCATTTCTGTCCCTGGCCTCGTTTGTTTGTTTTT